GCAGATGTTATCTCAGAACCATTGAACCATATCTTTAAAAAGCTTGGAGCACTGGGGAACTACCAGAGAATTGGAAAAGAACTGTTGTGGTTCCTATCTTCAAAAAGAAAAAAAACAGTCCCAGGAAACTACAGACCAATCAATCCTTAGGAAGATACTGGAAATGATGATGATGATGATGATGATGATGATGATGATGATGATGATGATGATAAAGCAGCTGACCAAAAGCTTACTTGGAATTGGCTAACATCAGGAATACTGAAAAAAGAAACTGAAGGCTTTATTTTGGCTGCTCAAGAACAAGCCTTAGCCACAAATTGCATGAAGGCAAAGATTCAGCATGTCACCACCAACAGCAAATGCTGCCTCTGTAATGAGAAAGATGAAACAGTTGATCATTTAAGCAGTGGGTGCAGCAAAATTTCACAAACTGACTACTTAGAACGCCATAACCGAGTTGCTAAAATCATTCACTGGAAACTATGGCAAACGTTTGGATTTGAGTATAGTAACAACTACTGGGAACATCAGGTTGAGAAGGTTCAGGAGAATGAAAAAGTCAAGATCTTGTGGGACTTCAGAATTCAGACAAACAAGCATTTGGCCCACAACATGCCTGACATAACAATAGTTGAGAAGAAAAGGATTTGGTTCATTGACATTGCAGTACCTGGTGATGCACTAATTGTAGACATGCAGCAAGAAAAAATCACAAAGTATCGGGACTTATAAATTGAAGTTGAGTGACTTTGGAAAAAGAAATCATGTGTTATCCCAATTGTAATTGGAGCCCTTGGAGCAATACCTAAAGGGCTGCCTCGCTATTTGGAAATCCTGAATATATCAGACTTAAATACCCTGATTTTACAAAAAACCACCCTACTTGAAACAGCTTATATCCTTCGACGCTACCTGAACAGTGCCTAGGTCCTTGGTTAGGACTCGAGCTGATGAGCTACCAACCAGTCCCAAAGGCTGTGAATCTCACAAAAGATATGATGATGATGATGATGATGATGATTAATAATAATAATAATAATAATAATAATAATAAATAATTAATAATAATAATAAAAACAGATCTATGAATATCTAGAAACAAATAAAGCTATAACTAGTAGCCAGCACAGGTTTGTTAAAAATAGATCATGCCAAACCAATCTTATTTCATTCTTTGATAAAGTGACTAAATTAGTAGACCAGTGAAATGCTGTGGACATAGTATATTTAGACTTCAGCATGGCATTTGACAAAGTAGACCACAACCTACTTCTTGGTAAGCTAGAAAAATGTGGGATAGATAACATCACCACCAGATGGATTTGTAGCTGGCTGACAAGTCGTACCAATAACACACACACCAACAACAGCCAAGCCTGCTACAACTGGCCCCAATCCATTGTGTTCACAACCTTTTCACAGAAAAAGAAGTGCAAGATCTATTACACAGACAAAAGCCAGGAAAAGCACCAGTGCCAGACAAGATAACTCCTTCTTGCTTAAAAGTCTGTGCTGACCAATTGGCCCCCATCTTCACCCGAATCTTCAATAGATCACTAGAGAAGTGCTATGTTCCTTCAAACGCTCTACTATCATCCCAGTGCCAAAGAAGCCCTCCATCAAGGAACTGAATGACTACAGACCAGTTGCTCTAACATCTGTAGTTATGAAAATCTTTGAAAGGCTTGTGCTGTCCCACCTGAAAACCATCACGGATCCGCTGTTAGATCCCATGCAGTTTGCATACTGAGCAAATAGATCGACAGATGATGCTGTTAACATGGCTCTGCATTACATCCTACAACTCCTTGAATCTCCAAATACCTACGCAAGGGTCCTCTTTGTAGACTTCAGTTCAGCATTCAATACCATCATTCCAGACACTCTTCTAAGTATATTAAACCAACTAGCGGTACCTGAACACACTTATAAGTGGATCATAAGCTTCCTAAGAGACAGGAAGCAGCAGGTGAAGCTAGGCGGAATCATATCCGATACCTGTACAATCAGCACAAGGGCCCCCCAAGGCTGTGTGCTATCTCCACTTCTCCCTATATACCAATGACTGCATCTCAAATGATCCATCTGTTAAAATACTGAAGTTTGCTGATGACACAACAGTGATTGGTCTCATTTGAGACAACAACAAATCTGCATACAGACAGGAGGTGATACAACTTGCCTCGTGGTGTAACTGGAACAATCTGGAACTGAACACACTCAAAACCATAGAAATGGTGGTAGACTTTAGAAGAAACCCTCCCATGCTACCACCTCTTACAATACTAGACAACACAGTATCAACTGTAGAGACCTTCAGATTTCTAGGTTCTACTATATCACATGACCTAAAATGGACACCTAACATCAAAAACGTCATCAAAAAAGCACAACAAAGAATGTTCTGTCTGCGCCAACTCAGAAAGCTCAAACTGCCCAAGGAGCTGCTGATACAGTTCTACAGAGGAATTATTGAGTCTGTCATCTGCACCTCTATAACTGTTTGGTTTGGTTCTGCAACCTAACAGAACAGACACAGACTTCAGAGGATAATTACTACCCACCTGCCTTCAATCGAGGACCTGTATACTGCACGAGTCAAAAAGAGGGCTGTGAAAATATTTACAGACCCCTCACATCCCAGACATAAACTGTTTCAACTCCTTCCCTCAAAACAACGCTATAGAGCACTGCACACCAGAACAAACTAGACACAAGAACCGTTTTTTCCTGAAAGCCATCACTCTGCTAAACAAATAATTCCCTCAACACTGTTCAACTATTACAAAGTCTGCAGTACTATTACTATTAATCTTCTCATCACTCCTTATCACCCATCCCCTCCCACTTGTGACTGTATGACTGTAACTTTGTCGCTTGTATCCTTACGATCTATATTGATTGTTTCCTAGTATGATTTGATTGCTTATTGTACCCTATGACTATCATTAAGTGTCATACCTTATGATTCTCGACTCTTGATGAATGTATCTTTTATTTTATGTATACTGAAAGTATTTACAACAAGACAAATTCCTTGTGTGTCCAATCACACTTGGCCAATAAAGTATTCTATCTATTCTATCTATCTATTATTGAGTATTCCTTAATGGTAATACATCCACATGGAGGGAAGTAAGCAGTGGAATACCACAAGGTCCTGTCTTAGGCCCAGTACTCTTCAATATCTTCATAAATGACTTAGATGAGGGAATAGGAGGAGAACTCATCAAATTTGCAGATGACACTAAACTGGCAGGAACAGCCAACAGCCCAAAAGATAAGCTCAGGACCAAAAAAGATATGGACAGACTTGAACAATGGGCCCTATCCAACAAAATGAAATTTAATGTGAAGAAAAGCAAAGTTTTACACATGAGCAGAAAAAAACAAAGGTACAAGTACAGATTAGGTCAGTGTTGGCGAACCCTTTTGCCACCGAGTGTGTGCGTGTGTGCGTGCGTGTGTGCATGCCGGAAACCAGAAGAGCAGCTGCCTGGCACATGCCGGGGGGAAAAAGATCTTCTGGTTTCCGGCGTTTGCATCCGTGTTGAGTACCTGGTCCTCTCGTTCCTTGAGCACTTTAGCTTCTGCATTTCATTCACTTACTTAGTCTGATTTGTGGTTGCACCAGTTTTCCAAAACCTTCTCAACTTGATGTTCCTAATAGATTTTACTACATTTAAATTCAAATGTCCTGCAAAGTTTCTAATAAATAATTCTGGGAATTAGGTCATGACACTGCTTGTGGTCAATATGTGAAATTTTGCTGTTGCCACTGATCAAATAGTCAAATGCTTCATCTTTTTTTTTTTTTTTTACTACAAAGGCAATCTTTCCTCTTATTTGAATTTTCGCCTTCATGTAAAGCTTTTTCTTGAGCCACTAAAATAAAGCCTTCAGTTTCTTTCTTTAGCATTTCTGATCTTAACCAATTCTATGTGGCTTTTTAAAAAAAATAAACTTTTCCTTCTATATCCTTTAAGTATTGACCTTGCTTGTTCTTCCAATTAACAAATAAGTTTTCAGTTGTTTCTTTTTTATATTCAACCTTCATCTTTGTGGTTTTTCAAGAGATTTCCTTGGTTGGTTGCCTTTAGCAAGGGTTCTTGGCTCCTCTTAATTTACTCCTGTCTGAGCAGGAGGTTGGACCCTTCCAACTCTGTTATTCTGTTAGTCATTCGGGCCATGTGTTACTTCCTTCACAATTTATTTCGTTTATTATTTTATTCTGCATTTTCTGCAGTTTGGTATTTTGTCCGTGTGCTCATCACAGCATTTTAAAAAAAAATCTGACAGTATCTAAGCCTAATAATAAAGAAATATACCAAAAATATGTAGAACAGAAAAATTGGTATTTGCTTTATTAATTTGGTCATGGGTTTATAAATAGCTGTTATGAAATATGATGATAAAATATGATCCCAATCATAGTGTTTGGAAATCATGGTTTATGGCTGGGTGCTGCATGTGACTTTTCAATAAATGACAGTAAAAATAAATCCAAGACTTGGCACAATACGAGAAATCAACTATTTTTCTTTTCTTTCCAATGGCATTATTATATTTTGGTTTCCTGTAATTTGAAGAAAAAAAATCATGTGAAAATTATAGTGGAACCCTATTTCCCCCCCCCCCCTTTTTTTTTTTGCATTTTGCTTGGGAAGGTTAGGAACTAAACTGGTACTTTAATCTATTTGGATATGTTTATCCTTTCAGATCCTCTTTGGGAGAATTTGGCCCTTGACATGAAACGTGTTTCAGTGCTTGAATTAATGAAAGTTGCATGCCCTTTTGTTCAGTGGTTGAATAGTTCTAATGCCTTTGACCCGTAATGTTATTCTTACTATAGATCTGCTTCATGTAAATAAAGTGAAAATTAAATTAAAATAAACGTAAATTAAAAGCTGGAATCTCTTGGGTATGAATGGCAGTTTGTAGTTTTAAAAATAGAATGTACAGATACAAATCTTGTGTTTTTCATGTTTCTTTAACAGGGACTTTTTTGACGGAAATGATACTTGTACAAAATCAATTGAAACGTCTACTTTTCTACATTTTTCACTAATTCCATCAGTAAGTAGACCAATAATCTGACAACCATTGACATCTTGGACTGTCCTGATTGATGAATGTGCCCTTAGATTCATTGAAGAAAGCCCATTTAGAAGCATTTCCAAAGCTGGCAGATTCTGCATATATAATCCAGATGCAACTGCTATTATTCTCAGCAAAAAAAGTTCTAGCTGCAAATGAGGGGAGCAATTATTTAATGTATGCCTATGTCTATTTATTTATTTATATCCCAGTGTTATGATTTTTACAAACACTGAAGATAGGATTACTAATAGCACTTAGACTTATGCACTACTTCACAGTGCTTTACAGCCCTCTCTAAGCGGTTTGCAGAGTCAGCACATGGCCCCCAACAATCTGGGTCCTCATTTTACTGACCTCAGAAGGATGGAAGGCTGAGTCAACCTTGAGCCTGGTGAGATTCAAACTGTCAAATTGCAGGCAGCTGGCAGTCAGCAGAAGCAGCCTGCAGTACTGCATTCTAACCACTGTGCTTAGATGGTGAACATATCCACTCCTTCCTCCAATTTTCCCCACAACAACAATAACTCTATGAAGTGGATTGGGCTAAGAGAAAGGGGCTGGCACTGGCCCAGCATCAACCAGCTAGCTTTCATGGCTAAGTCAGGAACTCAATGGTCTTCTGCTTCCTATTCTGGTGCCTTAAGCATTAGACCAAACTGGGTCTCACATATCTAAGTATTGGGTCGAAGATGGCTGCCTTTAGGACAAGGCAAAGTTTGCATTTATCTACTGTACATGCTTCACTGCCCCAAGAACAAACTTACAAAGGAGTACATGGGTGCTTGTGTTTATAGATGTGAAAAGCAGAGCTCTCCTACCCTATAGTAGGAGAGAAATTATAATTGACCTATCAAATTCCTTAATTTAATCTATCCAAGGCACTAGGCAAGGTACTCTGCTGGGTGGATCTGGGAGGAGGTTTGAAGGATGAAGGCTTGCTCAGGATTCTAAACTAGTTTTGACTTGCATTGGCTGGTAAAACATGTCTCCAGCTCTGAATTGTTGGGTACCATAATAAGTTCTATACTGACTTCATTATGGTTCATCATAGTTTTTCATAATATCAATCATGTTTTTTTTCTGTTCCTGCAGGTTGTCATCATTTTGATTCTGGCCTGTCTTGAAAAGAGAGAAAAAAGATTCTGGTTTGATGACAGATATCCCAAATGTCCAAGACGTTGTGCGTTACTGCTGTGAGTTGGACAATACTTGCTGGCCATTTCTGAGTAGCAGCCTGTGACATACAAGTTTGGGGACTCATAGACCCAAACTGCAAGAAACTGCAGTTGCCTAAAGCAACTTTATGTCCTAGACATAAAACATAAAGCGATTCAGTCAAATATCTCTTGCATATTTATATTTTGTGATGAAAACCACTTTCAATTATTCCGAAGCAGACAATTCATTTCTTTAGCATATGGCATCCAAAGCAGGTATAGGAAAAACACTTTCTAAGGCAATTGTGGCTTCTAGTTTTGGTCTGACTCACATCAACCCTAGTCAGATGGGAAGCCATCACTGGAACTGTAATCTAGCACATCTGAAGCGACATAGTACACTTTGCTTGCATCCAACTACAGCACAAACATGTGACAGGGACGTTTTTTTTTTCCTGCAGTGTCCCTGTGATATTGCCTTTACTTATTACCAATTCATCAGATGTAAGATGAACTTCACTTTTTTTGTTGCTGTACAAATGTTTAAGAACTCTTTTCTTCCTTATACCGGTACCATTCAAGGAGAGCTTTAAGCTGCCTAGAAACCGTTAAGCTTTGACTTCCTTTAACTTGGATGGAAGGCAATAACTGGGACAGAAACAATGGAGCTAAGATAAAGAATTAGTAATTCTGTGTCATTGGTGCTCGGTTATTTTCTTGCAGATGTTTCATTACCCACCCAAGGTAACAACATCAGTACCACTATAATCAGAGAGAACCAAGAACTCCTCATTTCAACCCTGAACTACAAATATTCTCCTTTATTGGGATTAGTAATTTAATGCCAGTGTAATTCTCCACTAGTTCAAGATTGACTGGAAACTATTATAACTATGGTTTAACAGATTTAACAGATTAACAGAGTTGGAAGGGACCTTGTAGGTCATCTAGTCCAACCCCCTGCCCAAGCAGGAGACCCTACACTGTTTCTGACAGATTGCAGTCCAGCCTGTTCTTGAAAGCTTCCAGTGATGAAGCTCGCACAACTTCTGAGGGCAAGCTGTTCCATTGGTTGAGTATTCTCACTGTCAGAAAATGTCTCCTTGTTTTCAGGGTGAATCTCTCCTTGTTCAGTTTCCATCCATTATTCCTTGTCTGGCCTACAGGTGCTTTAGAAAATAGCTTGACCCCTTCCTCCCTGTGGCAGCCTCTCAAATATTGGAAGACCGCTATCATGTCTCCCCTGGTCCTTCTCTTTACTAGACTAGCCAAGCCCAATCTCTTTCTGAAAGGATTAAAAAGTGACACTCTTAAGCATTCAGGAAAGATTTATTAAGTTGGTTTCTTTGATCAATTTCAGGGTAAAAAGAGGAAAATAGTTATATCTGGATTCCCTTATATTTAGAGATGATGAGAAGCTACAGGTAGTCCTTGACTTATTACCATAATTGGGAATTTCTGTTGCTAACTAAGGCGGTTGTTGTGAGTTGCACCAGAGTTTATGGCCCTTGCCATGGTTATTAAACAAATTACTGCAGTTAAGTGTACCACATGGTTATTAAACGAATGCAGCTTTCCTCATTGACTTAACTTGTCAGAAGCCAGCGGGAAAAGTCACAAATGGTGACCACAGGACCATGGGATTTTCTTAATAGAAACCTTAGCAAATTGTGATATTATTTATAAACTAAAGAACAATATATTGTTACATCATATACCTATAGACACTGTAAAAATATGTATAGTTTGGCCTTCAGGTGCTTTGGAAAATAGCTTGACCCCTTCCTCTCTGTGGCAGCCCCTCAAATATTGGAAGACTGCTATCATGTCTCCCCTGGTCCTTCCCTAGACTAGCCATGCCCAGTTCCTGTAACCGTTCTTCATATGTTTCAGCCTCCAGTCCCCTAATCCTCTTCTCTGCACTTTTTCTAGTGTCTCAACATTTTTTGGAAAGGGTCTCAGTGTCTTAAGATTTCTTTTCATTATTTTACAGCCCACTGGACTTTTACAACTCAATCAACAACCGATGGTCATTGGGATTTGCATTTGGTGCTACTACTGATAAAATCATGTTTCTATTTGAGAAAGAGTTCTTTCCAGTGGGACTTCCTGAATGGGCTAAAGGTAAAACTCATGATTAACAAGTGATAAGAGCAGTAGAGGAACCCTGTATCTTTGTATTGCCCAATTTTTCTGTTTAGCTATTTTTTAATCTTAAGGTTATCTGGATTCCAGAAAATTAGTTTACTCAGGAGTGCAGTGAGGGCTAGATTTTAGAGCAAATAGGACAAGTTATGAAGGCAGTGGCAAGTGGCATCAGCATTAGAGATGGTAAGAGTAGGCAAAGCCTCCCCAGGATAAATACATAGCCATTTAAATCAGGGGTCTCCAACCCTGGCAACTTTAAGACGTGTGGACTTATTCAATTACATTTCTTCTATATTTATCCATTTTATACTCATCATATTCATATTTCCCTCTGCCTTGTTTACAAATATTCCTCTCGCTTTCTCCCAAGGTTTTATTAAATCTCAATCAAACATACAGACACAAAACACAAAAACATAAAACTTCTTTTTAAAAAGTAGCTTGGCCCCGGATTACCTCTCTTTATATGGACTTCAATTAGATTCGTGTTCAGCTTATATGCCATTACCTATCTTATTACCCTTCTATACCTTCATTATAACTTCTCCCCGCTTTCCACTCTTCTTAATTCTATTTTATTTATTTCATCTTAATTTAAATCATTATATTTGTATCTTTTGTCCATTCTTTTCCAATTATCCATTTATCTCATTCATATTAGAAAAAAAATATTTCTCCTGAAATCACTAATCGAAGTATGATGCCTTTCCATCGCTCCCCTAAATTAACATTTAAGGTAACACCTAATTCCCTATCTAATTCTGCTTAGTACATTCTACTTACTAAAATAGTAAATCCATAAAGTAATTAAATATATAATTAAACATTAAATCTCATAGCATTCCAATTATCTATTTCAAAAACAAATACCATAATAATAAGTTCATACAAACATCCACACAATAGTCAATTAAACTCTATACTTAAACTAAATATTTTAAACATTCCTTTTAATATTTTATTAAATCTTAAAATCTATCATTATTAAACCTTTAATGTTTTAATCTTTACTTAAGCCTTATTAAATTCTAATTTTCTATTTCTAATACAAATACTACAATACTATCATGTACCTTGCAGAAACATTTTGGAACAAAGTTATGCATTACCCATTATCCCTAAAAAAAGATTTCTTTTCCACATCTTGTTTCATACCTTTGTGGCTTTTCCCCCCCTTCTTCTAAAAATATTTCTAAAAAAATATTTAAGTGGAAATGGGATATATTAGAATTATATTGTATACAACAATGTTTTATCTGCCTTGTAAAAATTTATAATGGAAAGAGGTTTAATGTCTTTAATGTCTAATGATGCTTTGTTTGTCTGTAAAATTAATAAAATTTGTTTAAAAAAAAAAAAGACTTGTGGACTTTAACTCCCAGAGTTCCTCAGCCAGCTTTGCTGGCTGAGGAACTCTGGGAGTTGAAGTCCACAAGTCTTAAAGTTGCCAAGGTTGGAGACCCCTGATTTAAAGCCTTCCTCCTTGTAACACCATAACATTAAATATCTGTTTCTAGGAGCATACATTCTTATTTGGGACTGAAGATAAGGCTCTAACCTCTGCAACATGTTAAACCATAGGTATAAGCAAATAACTTGTGGGTTAGAGGTTTCTTGATAGGGAAATAACAATTAGTGAGAAAAGTGCTATAACCCCTTCTTAACTTTCCTTCTTCAAATTCCTCCTTCTAACACAATGTTTCCTCTCTGCTGACTTTCAGTTTTAAAGCCTAATAGGTGGTAATGATAGTAAAAATAGAAAAAGACTCTTGTCAATTAAATGTGTTTCATGGTGCCTATATGGTTATGTACATAGGTTGATTATGTCCCTTCAAGTCATTTTTTACTCCAAGATAGATAGATCTTCTCTAAGACAATCTGTCTCTAACCTGGTTTCCCACCTGTGCACTCATCACCATTATGCCGTATGAGTCCATCCTCTTCAGATAACAGATAATCAGAGTTGGAAGGGTCCTTATAGGTCATCTAGTCCAATCCCCCCCACCCAAGCGGGAGACCCTACACCATTTCTAACAAATGGCAGTCCAATCTCTTTTTGAAGATCTCAAGTAATCTTCGCTAGTGATTGTCCTCTTATTCTCTTTCCTTCTACCTTTCCCAGCATTAGGGCCTTCTCTATGGAGCTAGGTCTTTGCATAATGTGTCTGAAGTAGGATAATTTGAGCCTGGTCAATTTAGAGTTCTCATTGTGTTATAAGTGTTACAAAAATAACAACTTTTACCTCATAATCCCATTAATAAAATTCTCAAATTGCACTGAGATTTCTTTAATTTGAAATATTTATTTTGACAAAAATATATCAGTTTCTCTAAATGATGCAAAAATGGTTTTGTAGTCTATAAAATTCAGCAAAGTTTAAAGAGCTAATAACAGTACATGTTGTCTTATTACTGTTGCAAACTCCATAATGGTTGGTCAATGGCTGTCATAACCATTTTCCCAATCATTCACTGCTGAACAATTGAATAAAGATATATTTGTGTCCTTTCTTCTGCAGTATTTTGGGTCCTCGTCACGGCTTTTGAAGTGGGCATCTCCTCATACCCTTTCTTTGTTTGTCTTTTAACAAAATATGAAGTTGTAGGAGCAGTTTTGGGATTTCTTTACACAGCAGCTTGGTAAGCAGAATTTTAACAGAGTCATGAATGAGAATGAGTCTCAGAGAAGATGTGGGAACCAATTCTTGATATAACAGGGGAAATTACAATAAAGTGATTTCATACCAAAAATATTATCTACAAATGACTTTTTAAGCAAGTAGAACTGTGGATATTTTTCTAGATCTTAACTTCCAGAAATAATCACAATAAATTGTGAAGCAGAGATACTAAACCATAGGTTAGTTTTGTAAAAAAATACAATAACTAAATTTCTAAAATTTACACATCAGAAGAGGAAGTAAACCTTGAAATAAACAATTCTGAATCTCAGAATTTGATGTGAGTTTCAGAGTTGTTTTGAGTTTATAGTCGTTACATACCTAAATATGTATTAAGTTTTTTTTTTTGATCTCAGCAAAATAATTGGAATAGATGGAACAACTATTCTGATTTCTTCTTTGCTATAAAACTAAAATCCTTAATAATTTATTTTAGGTACTATCAGTACATCCAGATCTACATTTTACTTTCCCTGATCTGAAACTTGAGAATCAGACTGCCCTTTTCTAGAGAATCAGGACAGGGCAAAAGGCTTTCAGGTTATGAACTAAATATTCATAGTGGGGAATGATAAAAGATAACCCATTAGTGGTGCTAAGTTTCCGGTAGTCCAACCTACCATTCTCCCCCCCCCCCCCCCGTCTTTGCTCTTGAAGATAAGGAATCACCACATATTAAATTTGAGGGGCAAAACCATTGGCACTTAAATTTATTACAATAGTGACTATATGTACTTAACAATAAGGCATGAAAAGGAGAGCCAGTTTGGTGTGGTGAATAAAAGTATTGGGCTAGAAAAAAGGAACTTGTAAGTTTTAGTCTTCTTTAGGCATGAAGCCAGTAGGGTGATATTGGGAAATTGACTCTAGTTCAATGGTACAGGAATATAGTAAACCACTTCCAAAAATATTGCCAAGAAAATTGCATGGAATTGTCCACATAGTTGCCAGGAGGAGGGAGGGTGATAGAGGAATGTATGTATGTATGTATGTATGTATGTATGTATGTATGTATGTATGTATATAATGAAGGATGGAAGGAAGGAAGGAAGGAATAGATCCTCTAGATGTGGTCAAATGAGCAACTTGCTGCTACTTAGAAGTCCTACTGTTAAACAGAATGAATGGGGAGTGGAACACTGTGGGTGGCAAAACCGACAGTTGAGTAACATCTTAAACAGCGGTAGGATTCTACCAGTTCTATAAAACCGGTTGTTATGATTCTGCACAGTTCGGAGAACCGGCAAATTGTGTCCCTGGCTGGCCCCACCCCTCTCCTCCCCGCTCAGTTAGTCCTCATCACGCATGCGCAACATCGTGCGCATGCCCGACATCGCTGACTGCATTTTCTGATGATTGCTCTGATGATCAGTTGTGCCGGGATCCTCCTCACTGTCTTATTGCTTCGCCCAGGAGGCTTCCCTGAGGCCCAGAAGGCGGGGGGGGGGGGATGCGGCAAAAAAAAGAAAAAGCCACGCCCACCCAGTCACATGGCACGCCCACCGAGCCACGCCCACCTAGCCACACCGACAGAACCGGTTGTTAAAAAATTTGAATCCCACCCCTGATCGTAAATACTTTTAATGCATGAAATATATGGGGCTAGTCCTATATGGTTAGGGCTTCCTTAGGTAGTCAAATTCATTTTCTTCTGACTTGGCTGTGGTATAGATCAAATGGCAAAATTGGTGTGAGCTTTTCTCCTATTTGTTGAACTCTTTATCTTACCCCATTGCCTGAATTTAAAACTCTGTAGTCAATTTCTCAATCTTTGAGTCTTTCATTTGAGTTTTCTTGCATTATATTGTAAGCACTTTCTAATCTCTGCATTCAAGCAAGTCTTTATTTTTACTCTGCTTTTGATACATAAGCATATAGTTATACACTGCTCAAAAAAATAAAGGGAACACTTAAACAACACAATGTAACTCCAAGTCAGTCACACTTCTGTGAAATCAAACTGTCCACTTAGGTAGCAACACTGATTGACAATCAATTTCACATGCTGTTGTGCAAATGGAATAGACAACAGGTGGAAAGCTTAGGCAGTTAGCAAGACATCCCCAATAAAGGAGTGGTTCTTCAGGTGGTGACCACAGACCACTTCTCAGTTCCTATGCTTTCTGGCTGATGGTTTGGTCACTTTTGAATGCTGGCGGTGCTTTCACTCTAGTGGTAGCATGAGACGGAGTCTACAACCCACACAAGTGGCTCAGGTAGTGCAGCTCATCCAGGATGGCACATCAATGCGAGCTGTGGCAAGAAGGTTTGCTGTGTCTGTCAGCGTAGTATCCAGAGCATGGAGGCGCTACCAAGAGACAGGCCAGTACATCAGGAGATGTGGAGGAGGCCGTAGGAGGCCATAGGAGGGCAACAACCCAGCATCAGGACCTCTACCTCCGCCTTTGTGCAAGGAGGGATAGGAGGAGCACTGCCAGAGCCCTGCAAAATGACCTCCAGCGGACCACAAATGTGCATGTGGCTGCTCAAATGGTCAGAAACAGACTCCATGAGGGTGGCATGAGGGCCCAACCTCCACAGGTGGGGGTTGTGCTTACAGCCCAACACCGTGCAGGACGTTTGGCATTTGCCAGAGAACACTAAGATTGGCACATTCGCCACTGGCTCCCTGTGTTCTTCACAGATGAAAGCAGGTTCACACTGAGCACATGTGACAGACTTGACAGGGTCTGGAGATGTCATGGAGAACGTTCTGCTGCCTGCAACATCCTCCAGCATGACCGGTTTGGCAGTGGGTCAGTAATGGTGCGGGGTGGCATTTCTTTAGGGGACCGCACAGCCCTCCATGTGCTCGCCAGAGGTAGCCTGACTGCCATTAGGTACCAAGATAAGATCCTCAGACCCCTTGTGAGACCATATGCTGGTGCGGTTGGCCCTGGGCTCCTCCTAATGCAAGTCAATGCTAGACCTCATGTGGCTGGAGTTTGTCAGCAGTTCCTGCAAGACGAAGGCAAGACGAAGGCATTGATGCTATGGACTGGCCCGCCCGTTCCCCAGACCTGAATCCAATTGAGCACATCTGGGACATCATGTCTCTCTCCATCCACCAATGCCACGTTGCACCACAGACTGTCCAGGAGTTGGGGAATGCTTTAGTCCAGGTGTGGGAGGAGATCCCTCAGGAGACCATTTGCCACCTCATCAGGAGCATGCCCAGGCATGTAGGGAGATCATACAGGCACGTGGAGGCCACACATGTTTTTTTCCACTTTAATTTTGAGTGTAACTCCAAATCCAGACCTCCATGGGTTGCTAAATTTGATTTCCATTGATAATTTTTGTGTGATTTTGTTGTCAGCACATTCAACTATGTAATGAACAAAGTATTTAATAAGAATATTTCATTCATTCAGATCTAGGATGTCTTATTTTTGTGTTCCCTTTATTTTTTTGAGCAGTGTACTTTCTATACCTACGACCCTGATTGCAGCTGTTAGAAGACCTGGCTGTAAAATTATGCTGTCATATCACTATCACAACATTCAAGTATGAACTTATTAAAAGCCAGAAATATTCTTGCTAGGTATAATACTTGAAAAGTAAGATAAAGGGAATCTATATTTAATATTACATGTCTTGACAGCAGCAAGAATTGTATATGCACAATACTGGGAAAATGAGGAAACATCCACAGAGGATGATGTAATTAAATTTTTTTTAGATTGTGCAGAAATGGATAGATTGACATTAAAAGTAAAAGTAAAAGAAGATACAGAATATTTTCAAACACGGGACTTGTTTTATAAATGATTGAACAGTAGAGGTAGAAATTAAGAGTGGGAAGAGTATTATTATATATTGTATTGATCCAGACAATATACTGTTCACTAAGCATTTATGTATGTAATGTAAAAATATATAGTATAAATAAACTGTTAAAAAAAGTATGAACTTATATGCAGGAAGAATGACATCTTGGTAATCAAGGCAATTGTCCTTGTAGCTAATTTGTTTTGTTTTGTAAAATGGTTAAAGAAGTGTGTGCAGCAAATAGTTGTGTGTGTGTGTGCGTGAGAGAGAGATTCTTTTCATACTGCCAAGAATTGTTAAGGCAAGGAGTCAAACACTCCTGATTTGGACTCCCATGTTATTTAGCTGGAGAGAGTACCAGTTTAGGTAACGTAAGGTAAGGTAAAGTAAGGTAAGATAAGGTAAGATAACCTTTGTTGTCATTTTTTACTATGAGCACACTGGCATACATAAAAAATGAAATTCTGTTGCCTGCTCTCAAAAGAAAATATATATCTACCCATACACATACATAACACACATACAGTCATGCTATATACATGTAGATATTTAGACACATGCATGCATGCATGCATGCATACATACATACATATTCACATACACATTCATATACATATTTATATACTGCTGTCTATTCATAGCGGAAAGAGGAAACGAGAGTTCACAAGTTTGATACTATATGGAACAAAGCTGTGACTGAATCTAGATGTTCAGCTTTGGATACCATGAAGCCTCCTCCCAGAACAAGGAAAATAGATCATGAAGAGAATGGGTAGCACGCCAGACCATACTGTGAACCCTGCTCAAGCTGTTGGCTCATAGTATCCCTGGTGTCAAAGCATGGAAACAGTTGGGATGAATAGTGAAAATACAGAAGTACAGAAGTCAAAGGGAAAATAAGTCCATAGCAAACATATACTGCCAATAAGAAAATCAAGATAGTTTCAGTGATCCATATGCAAAGCATATTAATTATAACACAAATATCCAGATATTAATAAATAATTTAGCATATTGAATGGAATGTATTAAGAAAAAAGATTTCTAAGAACACGGGAAAAATCAAAGCAATAAACCATTGTTGCTCTTTCAGCATCTTCCTGTTTTCTATATTACTGAAAGGTAGCGAGATGTAATGACAGTGGGGATTAAGAGATGAAAGTTGCATTGGAAGCATCCATTAGTGAAGGTAAAAAAAGGTAAAGGAGACCCTGAGGATTTTACTCTGCTAGTCATTAGCCGATTTTTAGGGGACAGCATTCATCTCCATTTCTAGGCTATTGAGCCAGCACTGTCTGAAGAAGATTATCATGGTCATATGGTCAGCATGACATCATGCCACAGTGCAGAGCATCCAGGGAAACATGGAGTGCTGTAACCTTCCCATAAAAGTGGTACCTATTAATCTACTTGCATTTACATGCATTTGAACTGCTAGGTTGGCAGAAGCTGAGGCAAGTGATGGGAACTCATTCTGTCACATGGTGCTAGGGTTTGAACCTCCACAGTATAGATCTTCTCTGGTGTCTTTTAAGCTGCTGAGCCCCCACGCCTGTTAAGGAAGGGGTATGGGTTACCTTTAATGTTAGAACTTTACCATTGCCAGTGAAGATCTGTTTTCATGCAAGAATGTCTTTTTCTAAACAGAACTTTCCAGTTAATTCCTGAAATTTTCTAGTCAGATTTCACCAATAATACAGAAATCAAAGAAACAGTATGAAAGTGATGAGTGATGTTGATGTTGGATCTGATTTGAATATGGGGCATCAGAGGTTTGGCTTAACAAGTAGTACAAATATGTAACCATATGTATGTATTCTATCGTTTCTACTGCTAATTTATGAAACTAATAACTCCATGTATTTTACAGGGCAGTTGCCACGATCTTTGACATTTTAGACTGCTCTCCTAATGACAATGTACGTATTTATTTTTGACAACTATTACTGTTTTACAATGGTAATTGGAGGTTCACTTAAGGCGGGGTGTCAAACTCAATTTCATTGAGGGGCACATCAGAGTAGTGTTTGACCTTGGGGGGCTGGGGGAGGGGGCGTGGCCAGCTCGAGGTCATTCATCGAGGCTTCGTTTTCAACCGCATCATCCTCCTGGGCTTCATTTTCACTGGCAGAGGGCTCCAGGAGGCTGTTGCAGTCGAAAATGGAGCCTGGGCAGGCTGCACACGGTCCTCCCGAGCTCTGTTTTTGCTGGTAGAGGCACCATGGGCTGGTCCTTCACTGTTTCCAGGGCGGGCCCACGGGCCAAATCTAAGCATCCCATGGGCCGTATCTGGAGCACGGGCTTTTGACACCCCTGACTTAAAGGCATTCAGTGCATCAATCTAATGAAAATTTAGCAGGTTACTGGCTTGCTGCTGGAGAAAAATCCCCTGAGCACCATGCACAAAAAAATATATGGTGTAAGCTATGGTTAGGTCTATAGAAAATCTATTATGCTTTCTATGCATATCTTTCCCATTAGATCACAAGATTAAAACAAACTTGGCCTTTGTGGCTGAATAAAGTCCTTCCCAGCAGTGGGATCCTACCTGTTCCACTACTGGTTTGGTGATTGCGCATGCGCACCTAACACATGCATGCAGCTTTCCAGACACCAGCTGAGGCCTTCAGCACCAATCAGCTGAGAGGATAAAGAAGAGAAAAGCGCGGAGGTGGGGCCGATCCTGCGCTTTTCTTTATCCTCTCGGCTGATCATTGGAGGCTTTTTTTTTTTTACTACTGGTTCAGCTGAAGCGGTAGCATACCACCTCTGGTCCTTCCCCTGAAGAGCCAAGATTTCTGGTATGAACCTCAAGTCAAGCTTCAGTGTTCACTACAGTTAATTTACCGCATAACTTAAGTTGAATTTACACAGGGAAGGAAGAAGAGTGGATCAACTTTATTGGTAATTCTGCTTTCCATGCCTAGTTTTTTGGAAAGTACACGGAAGTAATTCTGAAGTGGCCATCCTTGCTGTTCCTGTTCCTTCTGCTAGGACGTTTCCTTTTTAAATTTGTGAAAGCAGTGAGAGTTTCATCTGTATGGAACCAAAATGTGAGTATTTATAGCAGCATTGAAGTCCTCTCTTTTAATTACTTCATTTGGATTATTTGATTGTACTCCAATGAAAGGAAAGTTCTTTAAATGTGATTGAATACCAAAGACAAACCTAGAAAAAGAATTGTGAAATAAGCTAATTATTAAACCAGACTCACTGATTTAAGAAATGAGAACATGTCTGGTGATCTTATCCCTTTCTTACTATTTTGGCCATTTAAAGTAGGTAAAAAATGGTTACTTCTACAAGAGTTTGGAAATAGAGATTATGCGTCACCTGCTATCTGCTAGTTTCACTGTTTTTAATGAATGTTATTATGGTTTTCTAGATTTATTTAGGTTTATTAACTGCCTAGAGAAATACAGAAGTACAGTTGTGATGGTCTACAATCACAGTAAAATAAAAATAAAATTACTAACCTCCCTGCCTATAATCAGTATTGTAAGCATAAAATGGTAACATTTCAAATTTGGTCAAAAATTTCCACATTTTTGGAAGACTTAATAATTGATTTCCATAGCCAGATATTCTCATGTCTTCTAAGATTTAACCACACTCTCCAATTCTTGATAGTTTTCCAAGCCTTATAGATCAGTGTTTTTCGTGCGGGCTGGGAAATTCTGGAGATTGTTTATTGGGGAGTAAGTTGTTAGACTAGGTGGAAGATAATGCATTGATTAATAATTGATTCCATAACTTTGCACGTAACACAACACAATGAGATTGGTCTGTAGTTTTCAACCAAGTAAGGGTCACCTTTTTTGAAAATTGTGTGTCCAATCATACACTGCCAATTCTCTCCTCTCCTCTCCTCTCCTCATACTGTACCATACCATACCATACCATACCTTAACTTAACTTAACTTAACTTAACTTAACTTACTTCTCCATGAAATTAATAAGCTCTTTTATGTATCGAACAGCTGATTTCGTCTAGTGGTTAAAGCACCAGGTTAGAAACCAAGACACCCAGCCAGCTTTCATACCTAAAGACTGAGTTTTTGATCTGCTTTAGGCATGAAAGCTGGCTGGGTGTCTCTGAGCCCATCACTTTCTCTCAGCCCAACCCCCACACAGTGTTGTTGTAGCGAAAATAGGAGGAAGAAAGATGATTAGGCATGTTCACTGCCTTGAGTTTTTATAAAAATAATAAAGGCAGGATATAAATAAATAAAAACAAATATTTTAATAGTATACATTTCATATTATAAGCCATTAATAAGTAATCATGTATGTAGCAGGTAGGGATCAATATTAATCTCAATGTTGGAACATGGTATCTGGAATGGTTGGGGTGCTGGGCAGGAGGTTAGCAAGCCCACGTTTGAGATGCGAGTGCTGCTGTGGGTGGGGTTGAGCTCTTGTGCTTCACTCCACCTCCTGCCAGGGACATGGAAAGAGCCCCCAACTGGGTGTCCCCAGGGCAACGGTGATGTCAGTATCTGATTCTTTTCACCTAGACGTACCTTGGTGCTTCTCACATGAGCGCAAAAGTGGAATAGTTTTGAAGAAAACATTTATGTGATTAAGTTTCAAAGTAGGTGCAAAGTTTGCCATTGTGCTGCTGAAATATAAAACAATCTCAATCTTATAATTAATTATACATTAATTATCTCTAAACAATAATAGTTCTATGCTTTTCTATCCCATGCTTATATCGCAAACTTCATTGTAGATATGCAAGTTGTAGGAATAAGGAAATATCTAGAATAATACTAATAAGGGAATAATGCTTGTGTTAGCCTATATTTTATATTTATATATTTATATAGATATATTTTATAACGAGCATGTGCTAGGAAATTCTATAATAGCCTTGTGGTTAACTGGATCCATGTCAAGTGTGGGAAATCAGGAGTCCAGGCAGTTCAGTGAATATGTAGGTCTATTGCAAACTTAATTTCTCTACAAGAATCTGAACTACTAACAATCAAAGCAAATTGATGGTAGATGAGAGTCAATGGAATTCAAGATAGGCTGGACTTAGATCTCAAAGGGACTCGAGGCTGATGATGCATTTGACCCGCTCCCCCTTGGGCTCAGCCTGACTATCTCCTACCATCTGTCCACATTTTGCACTCAAGAGTGTTGCTTGATCAGCTAATTGTAATAATTTCTTCTTGTGAAACTATTCCCTCTCTTTTTGGAGACCTTTCATGTAACTCCTCAGACAGCAGAGATTAATTAATTTCAGCTACTTTGAAATTGTTCCACGTTATACACTTGTCTGAATGTTGGAGCTCAATGCTGAGAGAAATTATCCTGAGGCAGATCAGACTAAATTTTTGAGGATTCTACTTGTTGTTTCCAATGCTCTTCTTAGGTTAGAACCTGGGATGCCAAAAAGTGAAGTTAGGTTAATGTTAAATTACTAGTTAAAACTCCACTTCTTCTCCTTGGGCTTAGTCCCATTAATAATAGCTGATGACTGCCACCTAAGCTGGAACAATCTCATCAAATAAACACTAGGGTTAAATTGTTGAGATAAGATTACATGCCGAACATACACTCCTATAGAAACTACAAGTAGTCCTCACTTAATGACAGTAATTTGGACTGAAAATTTGCCATTTGTGACCTCCTGCCAGCATCTTCATGGGCTTTGCTTTTGAAAGCCAACAGTTAAGGTCACAAATGGCAATCGCGTGACCACAGGATGCTGCAGTGCATGTTAAGAGCCAGTTGCACAGCACTGGAATCACAACCACTTGACTGTGGGGATGCTGTGATGGCCACAACTATGAGGACCAATCATCTCATTTGTTTGATGCTATCGTAACTCTGAACAGTAGCTAAATGAGGAGTTGGTAAGCAAGGACTACTTGCAAATGATATCAAAATTCAGATCAAGATAAATAGTTTAGGGAAATAGGGAAAAGGGTTTCTGGGGAATGACCAATTACCTCATGACATTTCCCAAACTAAGGAAAACTTTCATCCAGACTACAGTATGTATAATCACTTTTGGCATTATTACAAAGAAGATACTTTTAAGACTCCCCTGGAAAAAATGTATCTTTTCTTGTGCAATTGTAGGACATTGAAGTAAGGCCAACACTCTAATATTTTCAGGGATATCCAAAATGTTCACCTTCAGCATTATTTCAACAATGCCCTGGATGGACAGGCAACTTTTATATGGCTTTATTCTTTTTTGATGTTAAACCTTCCCTAACACAGATGGTAGCAGCAGAAAAGATGGGAGACCAATTATCGCAAGGCCTCCCACGGTTATAATCCAGCCTAAACATCCATTCTAATGTTTTTATAAGATGTTATAATCACACTCAGAAGCCTGTGGGTTCTTAAAATGAGCTCTGCTCATTGGTGCCATATTGGCTTTTTTGGCTTTAAGGTCTACTGTACTTCCATGACAGCTTCCTGAGGTATCAGTTAAAAGCACAAGAAGTATGTTAAGTCACTTGATATGCTCTGAATAAACAATTCAGCTAGGCACATTGCATTATCTGCAGTGGGTCTAACTCAGTGGTGGGATTCAAATTTTTTTTACTACCAGTTCTGTGGGCATGGCTTCGTGGGCGTGGCAAGGGAAGGATATTGTAAAATCCCTATTCCCTCCTTACTCCTGGGGAAAGGTTATTGCAAAATCCCCATTCCCACTCTTCCCACCCCACTAACCTGCTTTTCCAGCTCTGTTCTCCTGTGCAGGGCAACAAAAGAAGACCCAGCCAATCAGCTGGGACTTGGGAGGAGGCAGAGAATAGATGGAGGCGGGGCCAGTCAGAGGTGGTATTTGCCAGTCCAAACTACTCAAAATTCCTGCTACTGATTCTCCAGAACTGTTCAGAACCTGTTGAATACCACCTTCTGGTCTAATCATGCTCTTTGTCAGTTATATGCACTAGCAGAAATAAACCTGGGTTAATATTATGTATCCATTTTGAGTTTTTTAATCCCTAAAAGTTCATTCTCTCTCTCTCTTTCTCTCTCTCCCCCTCCCCCTCCCTCCCTCCTCTCTCTCTCTCTCTTACACACACACACACACACACACTCTCACACACACACACACGCGTTTTGTAATTCTGTGTAAAGCTGTTTTATTTACTATACAGGACAAAGATTCTCTTATGGAACAACACCAGTTGCAGTATGTCCAGCAGTTGCTGAGAAAGCCTGTGCTTGGGTGAGGATCATTTTGTCCTTGGAGACATTTTTGCTTTGACGTAGTCTGATAATTCTTTTTTCTTTTTTTCAAGTGTCAGATAATTGGCTAATACCAATAGGAGCAAAATCTTTCTGTCAACAGAGCAATAGTTAGGCTCATATTCCATAAAATGATAACATTAGCTGAAAAGCATCTGGAATTTCATGGATCCCTAATGGTTAGTCAGTGTATTCTGGCTTAAGGTTTGATTTGAATTCAATATAGACATCAGGTGCAGGTATGCCTGTGAGCATATGGACTGTCCTGCTGAAAAGCTTACCCTAGAATAAACATGCTAACCTTGGGATCCTCGGCAAAACCCACAATATCTTGCTGGCAAAGTGATGTGTTGTCTTTAAGCTTTGATTCTCATGACTTTCTGATGAAGAAAGAAATGTTTTGAAAATGCTGCTTATAGGTAATCCTCAACTAATGAGAGTAATTGGGATTGGAGTTTACATCACTGAGTCATGGTGGTTGTAAAGCATGATATCATGTGATTACACCCCTTAGCAATAACAATCCAGCACTCCCCATTGCCGTCATTAAATGAGGTTGTTGGGTGAGTCCCAAATGGACCAAATCAGGCTAGAAAGAAAGCAAGATATGGCGCAAGTGCAGTGAGGCTGGGGTGGCTTTTGCTGTGTGGGTGAATATGTACGAGTGTCCCTTGGAAGGAGAGGTTGAGAGTGACTTAACAGAGCAACCTGCAACCTTCCCTGCCATCTTCTCCATTGACTTTGCTTGCTGGAAGCTGGGAGGGGAGTTCACAAACGGAGATACTGGGGAAAACTAGTTTGGGGAAAAATAGAGCATGTTGGTCACCCATATCCTGTTCATTGTTTTTTATTCTCATTCATTCCTATCATCTACAATCCAGCCACATTGAGGGATAAAGACCCTGGCAATAAGGGTTCTGTTGATAGAACTAGGCCAAATAGCAATGGTAATTTCAAATTCAGAGAAATAAAGGAAATGGACTTTCTTCTATCATACGCAAAGCAGCTTTGGAGAATGGCCTGTTTTGTTTTGTTTTTGTTGTTGTTACTTAACACCCCTATATTTTTATCTACCAACAGGAATCCCCAGAAAAAATGGTTTCAGAGAAAGTTGTATCAATGGGACCCCTACTTTAAATTCCCCAGCAGATTAATCAGCACAATTGTCGTTATGTTCCTATGTCTTTACATGGTAAGGCAAGGCAATGCATGATGCTTTCAGCAAGGAAATCACTGCTGCTTTTGGTCCAATCAAATCATCTTGCACTGAAAGCATTCTGGGGATCAGCTGTTATCTGTAGTCCAAAGCGTTGATCATTGAAGCTAAGCTGTAGTGCATGCTATATTTTGCATGCTGAGCAACATTGTTTTTGGGATAGGTCTTATTTTTGGGGAAATGGTGAATAAGAGGATAAACTCCTAGAAGTAGAATCTTATTTGTTAAAGGAAAGATCAATTAGAAATTAATTTCTAGATATATTCTCATACAGCTTTAATCGAGGATTGTAGTAGTCATGTGCAATGCTATTTGTGGCAGATTAAGTTCATCCATCAAGCCAAGCAACATTTATTTTAAAAATGCTTTGCTGAATAACCATACTTCTTGTATTTGACAATCACAATTACTTGGCTTTATGTAACAATTAAGACACAAACTATATTGTATCTTAATATTATATCTTGTATAAGCTATGTGAACACAACAAAGCCAAGTTATTTACTGTACTTGAAGTAGCACAGATTCCTGTATAAAGATTTTGCCTGCCCACCAACCAGGATAGTCTGGAGAGATGCAGGAATTATGACCTTCAATTAGCTTGTGTTGCCACATCCTTTCCTGTCATTGGTCAGGTTATAGAAACAAGGCAAAGGGAAAAATGCCTTCCCCTTTCTGCCAGTAATGGATCACAGGGCAGAATGAGCCCTTGGAGAGATATGGGTCTCATGACACGTACAACAAAAATTGGCACCAAAACTATCTTTGTAAACTAGTCTTTAGAGTATGTTAACAGTAAATAAAAATAAACATTACAGTTGAAGAAAGGATTAGGCTCCAGGAAGGGAAGTATGAACAAAGGAACATTTTCTCTTAATCAACAAAGGAAATTTCATCTAAGATGTTGATTAAGATGGTGAATCCAGAGAAGAAGCTAGCTTTGCATGGTTTGTCCTGAGCACAAACAAAATAAAATCAAGAGTGATGACAATCAATCAAGTTACTCATTTTACACACAAGTTACACGTTACACACACACACACACACACACACACACACACACACCTTAACAGATGGGATCTATTCCTGTTGAGGGATTTAGCTAACAGATCTCCCCCAACTTAAATTACTGTAGGTGTGAAGGTCTACAGGTCAATTGTGAACGCATTCTGAACTAATGGGAGTCCCTAAAGGTATGTATTATTATCTTATAATTTTCACTTCAGACATTTTTCTGCATCATTATCTTTCATTTCTCTTCCAGTTTATTGGGTTTGAATTTTTTTTGATCAAATCACTTATCACAGCACTCAAAACACTGCATAATTTCTTCGAAGAAGCCTTTTCAGTTTCGGGAGATGCATCATGGGTCCAAGACTTTGAAGAGTTTATTCGTGTCTTAGAAGGTAAAGGCATAATATTTTGTGACTATACCATTACTTTTCCATGGGCGGTATAATGTACCAGTTGCATTGAAAAAGAGAATGACAAACTTCTAATAACGTTGTCCCTAAACAAAAACCTGATAGTGCTTGAAGGGGGGAAAAAACAGCACATAGCTCCATTCTTTCTTTTCACAATGGGAGGAAGAGCAGCTAGGTTGGAAAATGCCCTTTATGGAGGGCTGTAACTTCAAGTCTCTAAAATTGAACTTGAAGAAAAGAAGCTTCTCCTTTGTGCAAAACCACCTTCCTTTTTGGAACCCAGCATGGTTTGCTAAGCTAAAAGGAGAAGGCCACCATTTCTTCAGTAGAGTAGAAAAATGGCTTCTCAGGAGAAGGTGTTATATTCTCCATTGGCCCTCTATATCTACTGCTGTAAGGACTCTTTGAATACAAAAATATGAATTTCATACAAATAAAATAAATATGTTCATAATCCCGTGCTCTGGTCAGAGATTGACAAACCCTCAAATATAAGCTAAATTTCTTTCCTAAAGTTTTCCCATCCACATTTCCTACTGTATTAGCATTTTCCAGCTGGAAGGAAGAGAATGTATTCTTTTTTCAATATCCATGCTGGCAGGGAATAATTAAAATGTATATATTTTAAGGTAGATGGCAATTATATTAAAGAGTATAGGATGAAAGCAAGAAGATATAGAGTCGTATAAGGTAATTACTTACTTGCACTGGAAATTTCTGCTATTTAGTTGCAGTCATTAGGCTGGTTTATTTTTGTCTTTAAACAATGACTAGCAAATGTTCAACAGAACTTTTTTTGTCAGATTTCCTTGGTCTTTGAGGTAATAAATGGGTGGGATTCAAATTTCTTAATAACCAGTTCTGTTGGCGTGGCCTAATTTCTGGGTGTGGCTTGGTGGTCATGTAACTGGCTGGGCATAGCTTGTATGTAAGTATTTCTGTAAATATTGATTTTTTAAATAAAAAAGAGCAACTTTTACCCAAAATCAGGCAAAGCAGGCAGGCAGATTGAGTTGCTCCCAGAATCACAGATTCCCTCAGACACCTACCATTCTGCAATCTGCTACCTGAGTCTGCACTGAAAAATAGAAGCTTCAGGCCTAAGGAAGGTTCAGCTCCAACGATTGCCTGTTTTCTAGCTAATCTAAATCTCCCGGCACAGCTGATAGTCAGAACAGCTGATGGTCAGAGGGAAGGAAAAATCGCAAGTTGCCAAAAATTAGGAGCAGACAAGTTGGATGGCACGCATGCCAGCTAAGGAGTGAGTGGGTGGGGAGGGGAGGGGAGGGGAGGGGCTGGGCAGCCAGTAGCACAATTGGCAGGTTCTCCAAACTGTGCAGAATTGTAACAACCGGTTCTATAGAATTTCTATAGAACCGGTCCAACCACATAGAATCCCACCCCTGGTAAATCCTTTTATACTTTTCTCTGTTAGATAGCTTTATGTGGCTACAGTTCTGATAGCAAAATATAATTGCCTTTCAAAACCTATGGCTGTAGCATTGACCTGAAAATGAGTTGTAAGGAGTTTTTAACTGACCAGAAATCTTTTTTTCCCTTAGGTTTCATTCCCTAAAAGACTCAGGTGTTTGTTTGGCCTTTCTAGTGTGAGTAAGTGTTTAGAAATGATTATAGCAGCAGCAGAAGAGCAAATATAGGCAACAGAAATGATAGGGGAGTTAGAATAGTTCCCTGTTTTTATCTTTGTGTGAAAACAGGTAAGGGAAGTCATGATTTTGGATGGATTTGATTACAAGTAGTCTTTGACCATTTTTCATTCATTGTTACAATGGCCTTGGAAAAAGTTACTTGCAGCCGTACTCACGCTTACAACTGTCACATCACCCCTGTACTTGTGTTACCATTATTTTGGTGATTGGCACCTGGCTCACTTTTATGACTGGGTGCAAAATCCTGTGGTCATGGGATTGTGATTTGAGACCTTTTTTTTTTGGCCAACTTTTGTATCAACCCCTAGGGAATAACAGTGGTTGAAGAACCCCTTGTCCATGCTTGGTTCTGGGATGTGTTGATCGACCTCTCTGGGATCCAGAATGTGAACTGATAGCCATGGAACTGACCCAGGACTTCTTTTATTCTGATCATTCAGACCTTTCTTTATTCTAGAGATTCATTAGGAGGTTTCAGGTTTAGAAAGTCACATTTATGTTATGGTGTAGACTAGGGCTCTCCAAACCTAGCAACTTTTAAGACTTGGGGACTTCAACTCCCAGAATTCCACAGCCACCCAAGATGATAAATTTGCCAAGTTTGGAGACTCCTGATCTAGACAAATGAAAAGACATATACAAACATTTAAAACAGCATTTATACATTATTTATATTTGTTAAATTAATATCCTGTCATTCTTTAAGAAGTAGTTAGTGTTCTCTGCATTTGTCTTATTACCCATCCTGCAATCAGATGAGATACATTGGACTGAGAGATGACAGCTGGTCCACAGACACCAGTGAGTTTCTACAGTCGACTGTGGATTTGGATTTGAATGTGTCCAGATCTACCCCAATAACTAGCAAACTACATCTGTCTAGCTAGAATGTGAAATATTTACATCTACCCTAAACATTAACATTGGTGAATAAAGCCTATATCTATAACTGAATAACAAAAAACAAAATATTACAACATTTCAAAGTTATAAAAAGACACAGGCAGTTAAGAAATTAATCAGTTTAACTATGTCCAAATGTTATTTGATAACAGGAAAAGTAAATTAAAAAGAGTCTGAAGAATGTTTATAGACTATTTTGGAAATTTTGTATTTTACCATGACTATCTGACTAGACCGTGGTGAGGAGTATTTTGAGGGCATCATCTCTGAATTAAGATTATGTTGTTTGTTTTATAGCCATTTGGATTGTTACTACTGTTATTGCTTCTGCCACATGCATCGGATATGCATTTAACATCTTAGCCTGCTACAGGTACAGATATAGATTGTGTAACTCTTGTGTAGATGTAACATTGATGCTGTGATTAGATGACTGAAAATATCTATGACACTGTTGCCCAGTTTTGTAAAAAGTTATGAATAGTAGCATTTTCACACTGTGTTTTCCACTATTTACAAGAAGCTAATATATCAGCATGGGTAATAGTGGATAATAATGGGTGTGGGAAAGAACATTATGAAAATGGGAAGATTGTTCTACATTCATTCCACAACCAAATTTCATCTGCATATTCTGTGCAAAGGGTTTCATCATTCAAGCCTATTTGGTCAATTATATATTTTATCTTAATCAAGAAATGTATAATACAATTTATTTCTCATATTAATACATTTCTCAATGATCAGCTGAAGAAACATGCATTTTCTGCTTGGTACAAAATTCACATATGGTTCCCAAATGTTGTTCATTGTTCCCTTTTTTGGTTAGAATTCTGCCAGTACTACCAAATGATGGTCTATTTCACATTCAGGACTTCTAGTTATCCTTAATAGACTTTGTTAAGTCTCCAATCTTTCAATATAAATCATTCACATTTTTGATTCATTCCTTTTCATAGATATCAATATGGAAGAGTTTGTATTGTATATAAGTGTGTATATACAAGTGTGTGCCTTTATGCATATAAAGGTGTGTGCCTTTATACATATACATACACATACATACACACACACACACACACACACACACACTCATTTATATTTATATTTTTTGCTCCTAGAAAACAAATTAAACTGTTGAGAGCAGGCAAAAGGTACCTACTTGTGTCAGAATCTATGAAAGTGTCATCTTCTCAAAGCGTGGTGAGTTATCAGCATTCAAAAAAGTACTACTGATTGGGGTTGTGGGCTACAAGGCAAAATAAAGCATAAATAATTATAATGGCCTTTTATTTAGCTATGGAAAATATGCATGGAAGAAAGCAAAAATAGTTCTTAAATGTTAGCCAAAAATGTGGTAGGACCTGCAAAATACGACGTGCCCAAAGCATGTTAGTCTTCATACATATAATGAGCAGGGTGCACTGAATTCAAAAGAGTAGCTCATAGCCAGTGCAACTATTTTGACATAGAGGCAATGTGATATTGTTGAAGTTACCAGTCTATCAATCAACTCATGCCAGATAGTTTTTATCCCAAAGGGGGCACATCAAGTATGACTTTGATTTTTCTTCAGATATAGTTTTTATCCCAAAGGGGGCACATCAAGTATGACTTTGATTTTTCTTCAGATATCAGTACTGCATGATTGTCCAGGCTCAGTTCCAGTTATGGGATGATCTTTAAGCTGTGAATTTAATCTTTAAGGGGAAACATGACTTCATAATTTTCTGGCATATTTCTGAAATCCTGAAGTCTAGTCCCCAGAACCACAATAACTCCACCTTGTCCAAATTCCACTTCAGTTTGTTTTCTCTTTTTTAATTTTTTTTTAATTCCTTAAAAACAAAAAATACAAAAATCTCATTTCCATTAACAGTTATTGTGTCATTGTATATACATGTTTCTTATTTTGTGACTATACATTAGTTCTATCCTTATCCTTCACCCATCAGACATGATATTCTTCTGATTAAAATCGGAATTCCGATTTTTTTGGGAATCGCCCCCCCTTTCCCCCCTTCTTCTCCTCGTTCCCCTCCCCTTGGAGGCCCCGAGTCAGGAGTTGCTACCGCTGGCGCGGCTCTGCGTGGCTCCAGTCCCGCGTTGCCTCAGGAAGGGAAAGGCAAAAAGGAAGAGCCGCGGCGGCGCTTTGCAATGGCAGCAGCGGCTCCTGGTTTTGCCTTTTCCTTCCCGAGGCAACGCGGGACTGGAGCCGCGCGGAGCCGCGCCGGCAGTAGCAACTCCTGACAGCCCCAGCCGGATACCTGAGCGGAGCCCGGGCGAGTGGGCGGTGCGAGCGGAGCCCGGGCGGACGGGCGGTGCGAGCGGAGCCCGGGCGGGTGGGCGGTGCGAGCGGAGCCCGGGCGGGCGGGCGGTGCCAGCGGAGGCCGCTGAGCGGCAGGAAAAGGGAGCTGGGCAGCGATTTCTTGGCGCGCGGTGGGGGGGGTCTCTTTTGGCCGGCCCCGATTTTTTTTTCAGAGGGGAATATCATGCCTGCCCATTTGTACCACCTTTCCCATGTCGCATAGTATTCTCCCTCCCTCATACCTTTGATCAGTTTGAGGTTCTCCGATAGCTTCATTTAGAAGATGCATGGCTTGAGTTAGTAAAAAATTCTTTCTTTCCTTCTCCTGCCATGGCTCCTCTCTTCCACGCCGACGGGTAGTGGTCACTCCTGGAGGAGGCTTTTCCTCAGGATCCTTCCAACTGACTCCCAGGGACCATTTGGGTTTTACAGCTGGTTTTTCCCCAAGATTTAGTTCTGCTAACAAGTCGGTTCCCCTGCTTCCTCCAGCAGCAGAGAATCTTGTCCTCCAGTTGCTCCCAGGTCTTCTTGGTCGCTGGCTGGATTTGACAGACCCCCTCGGAAGAAAATTTATTAATTCTCCGGGTGGGCTGGTAATGTGGAGATTCAGAATAATGTCAGCTGGTGCTCCATTCAAAATCCAAGAGAGAAATACTTAGACTCCTGTAATCAGAGAAAAGATATCTTTTACTGGAAATCAAGCGGTAGCAACAAAAGAATTCTGAAGCTGAGAAAATGGGCGCGTAAATCACATCTACAAAGTAATGGCAACGTTCCCACCCCCAATAGTTCAATTGGCTCATCCAATTAAAAGTTGTGTATATCATCATGTGGGCATCTTCAGGTAGTGATGAGGCTTCTGTCCGTTGACCTTGACATAGTTTGATAAAGGGTTGCAGCTGCGCATAGCATAGGATAGAAACCTAAGCAAGAATGTACCCCTCCCAGCTTATACTGTTCTGGTTTGTAACACCTCCAGCTCACTTCCCATAACCATTCCCCCCTCCTCCCTCCGTTAGTTATGACAGCCGAAAGATGCAAAGCAAAGGGAGAAAATCTTGAAGGCTGACAGATCCTCTTTGCCTTTCAGTTCCATAGTGAATTTATCTAGTTCAGCACAGTCCATTATTTTTTGAATCAAAACTTCATCTGGTGGTATTTTATCACTCTTCCAATTTTGTGTTAACATGATTCTTGCTGCAGTTAAGATGTGTACAATAAGGTACCGTATATGCCGGCGTATAAGGCGACCCGGCGTATAAGACGACCCCTCAACATTTCCACTCAAAATATAGTTTGTTATATACTCGCCCCCTCTTCCGCACGCCTTCCACTTTTGCACTTTCTTTTTTTTTTTGAGGCACTTTTGTGCACCGTGGAAATGAATCCCGTGAAGCCGAAAGGAGCAGCCAGCCTTCTCCCAGCTCCCAAGGAAACGAGGCTCGCACCGCCCGAGCTCCGCTCAGGTATCCGGCTGGGGCTGTCAGGAGTTGTTACCGCTGGCGCGGCTCCGCGCAGCTCCAGTCCTGCATTGCCTCAGGAAGGGAAAGGCAAAACCAGGAGCCGCTGCTGCCATTGCAAAGCGTCGCCGCGGCTCTTCCTTTTTGCCTTTCCCTTCCCAAGGCAACGCAGGACTGGAGTCGCGCGGAGCTGCGCCAGCGGTAACAACTCCTGACAGCCCCAGCCGGATACCTCAGCGGAGCTCGGGCGGTGCGAGCCTCGTTTCCTTGGGAGCTGGGAGAAGGCTGGCTGCTCCTTTCGGCTTCACGGGATTCGTTTCCACGGTGCGCAAAAGTGCCTCAGCCGCGGGCAGCCGCAGTGCTTCCCAATTACTATTTGCCGGCGTATAAGACGACCCGGCGTATAAGACGACCCCCCCAATTGGAGGCATCTTTTTCAGGGCAAAAAAGTCATCTTATACGCCGGCAAATACGGTATCTTTTATCTTTACTCAAATTCCCTTTGATCATACCTAATAAAAACGTTTTGGGTTCCAAATTCAATTTATATTTTGTAATCTCAAAAGGCCATCTCTGTATTTTCTTCCAGTATTTTTTGACCTCTATACATTGCCACCACATATGAAAAAACATTCCTTTCTTTTGTTTGCACTTCCAGCATTTTGGTTTCAAGGTTGGATACATTTTTGCCAGTCGTGCTGGCGCTAAGTGCCATCTACAAAACATTTTATATTGATTTTCTTTGAATGCTGTTGACAAAGTCAGCTTCCAGTTCTCGGTCCAAGTCTTTTCCCACTCATCCAAATTTATATTATGACCCACATTTTTCGCCCAGGCAATCATTGGTCCCTTAACAATTTCCTCCTCTGGTTCTACCTCCAGTAAATAATTATATGTTCGTGTTATAAATTTTATATCCTTGCCTGTCAAGATTTGGTCCAATTTTTGTAAATCTTTATCTATCCCTAGCTCCTTTACATCTTTCTTAAATTTAGTTTGAATTTGCAAATATACCCACCAGTCTAATATTATCCCTTGTTCTTTCAGTTTATCCAGTGTTTTTAATTCCCCCTGTTCATCTACCAATTCTTTATATCTAATCATTTTTTTAAATGTCCCTTGTATTTGGATATAATATAGCTTCCATAGGTGAGATCCAGTTTGGTCTTTTCAAATAATGCTTTTTTTAAATTTTCTCCCATGTTTGTAAAAGTGAGTCCTTTATCAAATGTCTATGGAAATAGGAGTGGATCTTATTCTTTTTATCCCATAGAAAGGCATGCCACCCAATTTGGAGGTCATGACCTTCTATCACCAAAATTCTTTTATTTTTTAAGTTTATCCACTCCTTAACCCATAGTAAAATTGCTGCTTAATAATATGTTTCTCATTTTGGGAGTCCAAGGCCGCCTCTGGTTCTACTATCTTGTAACATTTTCAATTTTATTCGTGTTTTTCCCCCCATCCATATAAATTTCATTACCGTCCTATCTAATTCCTGAAAAAAAATCTTACCCAATTTCAGTTTGTTTTCTCATCTGCATTCCTTTTCATCCCTCTGAAATTAGGAGCTGTCAAGATACCTAGTCTTGAAGTCTGACAGAAGCAAAAGTACAGTCACATATCATCAGCATATTATTATAACTAATGCTAAATCCATATATGACCTTTTTATGAATCTTTTTAACAGATGTTAAATAATATAGAATATAAAATAGAACTTTTGCATAGGAAAAGTTGTCTTGTGGCTGCCATTTTGTCCCCACCCATTTGTGCCGAGCATTGGTTGAATTTATAAAACATATTCAAAACAAGCATTGATGCAAATAGCCTGCAGCTGCTTTGCCTTTAACTAGTTTTCAAAACAAAGTACACTCTTGAGCCAAGCTGTCAGGATAATGTCAATTACAAATACAAGACAGAGCTATAGATAGAAGAACAGAAAACTAGCTTTCCTGCGTAATTTATCCATATTTCTTTGGTTATTTTTCTCCTTTGGGGATTTCTTTTATTTTTGGAATTTTATTTAGGTAAAAAAAAATGGGTAGAAAGAAGTTGCACCTCAGGGTTTTGCATCCTATTTTCTTTCTAGTCTGAAATGATGCTGACAGAATTGGTTTGTGTAGTTATACAGAAGTAGTTACACAAATATATCACTTAGATTTCCTGGAAATATTGTATATTTTGTTTGTATGTTTGCGAATTTCTAACTGAGCTCTCCTGTTCTTTAACAGGTAGCACTATCAAAGTTCATCTCTTTTCAAATTGCATACATAATGTGGGGTAAGTGAACACTTGTCTTAAAGGGATTGGAAAAAGTTATTGGGAGCTTCTAATTCTCCCCATTCGTTAACCAGTTGTAAATTTTCTTTTCTAGGATACCTAATCATGCATTTGGTGCAGTGGTTATTTGGAATGATATTTATGTATGTTTTGATTTTACCCATGGTACATGGCAAATGGATGGAGCTTTTAAACAAATGGGGAACTGTTATGTAAGTGCCTGCAGTGACAATATCAGTTTGGTCTCCCTGCCTTTCAAAATTTACCAAGCTGCAAATGTGAGCATTATTCACATCATCAGCCCATGTTGATCAGTATCAAAGCTTAGAAGATAATCTGGCTGGGTGGGATTGGGGAACTTTTGAGCACTTGCTCCATCATCCACCTCATTGGCTGGATAATAAAGGGATTTGTACATCCTCAAAAAAATATGTACAGAGCAGGTGATTTTCCTTCTGCTGCTGCTCCAATTGCAGAAATATTCATAGTCAGAAATGAGATGTATCATTTCAAGTACCATTTGTCAGTTTGACAGGGAGAAATGCATAGTACAAACGACCCCAAAATCTGTGCCTTCATATGAGGTTCCGTGCTATATTCATAGGATTCCACCTTTTATCTTTTTTAAAATACTTTTGAATTTGAATCTTGTACAGAATTGATTATCAAGGAATTCATAATGATGAACATAAAATTTTTGGATCCCAGACTAAGAGGATGGTAGCAAAACATAATCCTTTCAATATTATTTATATATTTTTGATTGGTTTAGCTTGGTTATATAATGCAATGTTGTTTTCTGTCTCTCAGCCTGACGTTTATCATTGTCATAGTGATCAAGAAGATACAGGTGTTTGTAGGTGGCAAGTTTTTCCTCCAGCCAAAAATGTCACCGAGTGACAGTCAAAAGCCTTTGGCTCTTGATAACAGGTCAGTGCTAGGGCATGATATGCCTACTGCTATTCTGTGAATATAATTTTTTCCATTGCATGGCACCTGGGTTTGATAGTTAATGATGCTTCCAGATACATATTTTAGCAGTGTCTATTGGAAGATAACTGTATAGTTTTGCAGGTGTTCTTTCCTGACTGTCCTGACTAAAATCACTGTCCAGAAAAAGATGTGGAAAAAAAGAAGTGATGTGAAAATGTGAGACAGGATTCATATTTACACAAATAAAAACATTATTTGGAAATAATTACTCAAGGAAGCTAATCTAATTCAGCCTCTAATTCTGCCATTTGTTAGTCATTAATCTTGGCAGGAAAAAGTTAAAAGATCAATGGGGAAAAATTACATACAAAAATACAGTTTCAGAAGAACTGAGTGGCATTTGTATTATGCTGTTTCACGCTTTAGAGAAAACAGGTTCTTCATGTTGAATATTGCATGAAGAAAACTAGAGAAGATTTAACAATATAATTCTCCTTTCTTTTTATCCTAGTCTTTATCTGGTTTATCTTATTCTACTGAAAAATCTTTTAATGTTGTACCAATGTTGCAATTTGTAGGCTAATTTCAATTAAGTGAAATTTGTTTATATATTTGCATTACATCTTGGTACAGCAGTCTGTATTTCATCAACTACGATTGGTGGGACTTGTAAATAAACCTTATTCACCTTCTCATGGGCTCAGTAAAGTATTATAACTTTCTACAAGTACAACTTATTATACTTCCTCAAATGTAGAGAGGTAGAACTACTAAATTTTCTTCTTTGATAAAAGCCCATTGGGGATGAATTCAAAAGCAAAACTATTTGTTTCTAACTCCACAGTTGGAGAGTAAGCATGAGACTTCTCAGTGATAGCCTCTTGTTTTGCAGGAGAATCTTCGTAAACTTCAGTTATTTTTTATTCTTCCATTCGGTGGTCGTGGGCTTAACTTCCTGCCTGATGAGACTGTTCCGCAGCATCGTTATTGGGGTCTGGCTGGTTGGACGGATAGATAGGCCAGTAATGCCAAAAGGTTATGAACAATGTGATGCAGGTAAGCATTTGAATGACCTTACAGAGGAAACCTCATCTACTTTTACATAACGAACTGGATTTTCCCACTCATTAGCATCTTTGTTTCAAGCCTTGGATAAAGTGGGTGGGATGGGAGAACAAGAAGCTGCATTTAACATGCAAAAAAGAAATACTCGTGATTTTTCTGCAGGATACACAGTTTGGATTGGAATGCTTTTTCTGGACCACTATCACACAAATCCCATCCTTGTGTGCTTCTGCCAAATCCTTTGTGACAAACTCAAACAAAAAAAGCTGTCTGCCGATTCATGCTCATCTGTGCCTAAGCCATTGGTAATAGGTAAGCTTGAATCACAAGCCACAAGGGTCTGTTGGGATGTTAAGCAACGGGGCAGGTTAAAATAGAATCTTCACTTCTGGGGAAGAAGCCCTGAACATTGCAGATGGTTTTCATTTAGGTGGGTCCCATAACTAATTTCCATTTCATCACTGGTTTGACCTTTTGCCCAGGCTTCTATTATGAAGATAAAACTTTGTCCATGTACTTTGTTAGAAGTTTCCGTTTCAGGTAACTATGCTATCATGCACACTAGATTTCAGGAATAGCTTTCTGAAGGTTATCTGTTCAGACATTTGGAACAACATCATCCCCAAATATTGTTTATCTGAGGGTATAGCATTTCTTTGCAGGATGGAGTTGTTTAAATAGTGAATTATAACACTTGTGCATGGTTATAGAGATGTTGTATTGATCTACCTCCTTTCTCCCCCAAGCTTATTAAAAAAAACTTAACCTGCAATTTCCCCCCCCCCCCAAAAAAAAGAAATTCCAAATGCATTAAGATCAATTATTTGACAGCAAGGGGTGAACTGAAATACAATGCACATGATACAGTACTCACTTGAATGATCTGGGGAATATTTATTTTATTTATTGATATCCCACCCTTTTAGTCTTACAAATAACTCAACATAGCAAACACATCCAATCCACGTTCCTCCTCCGATTTTCCTCACAACAACAACCCTGTGGGTTGGGTTGGGCTGAGAGAGAATGACTGGCCTGCTAAACATGGCAAAAATTAATACTGGTTTCTTATTTTAGTTCCCAGAGTGTCTAGCAAAGCCAGGACAAGATGGTTCCTGCTCTATACACTTCTGAATAACCCCAGCGTCCAAAAAATCCGGAAGCTAAAACCTCTCTCTTATTAAGTGGACTGATCAAATCTTTTGTTGTTGTTGACAGCATATTTTGTGGTTCTTCTGTAGTTCGCAACAATTTAGTATTTGATCCAAGTTGTGATCAGGAGGGGCTTGCTGACATATTCATTTGTTTCCTAAATGAACACTTGCAGCATGGCTATACTAGTGTATTTATTATGTTAATATACTGAATTCAATCCCAGTACCGCTATATGATAACTGCAGTGTGATTGTTATATGTGCAAAAATGAAAAGATTTAGCACAACCCACAATGGAGAATGGTTGGCGAAGATGACAGAATTTGCAACGATGGTGAAATTAACTTCCTTAATTAGAGAAAAGACAATATCAACACTTATTATTGACTGGAAAATCCTTAGAGTTTTTTGTTGTTGTTGCTTGAAACAGGAAAAGAAAGTGTAATTTATGGTTTTGATGATTAAAAAAATAGACAATGGTGAAAAGAGAAATTTTTCTCCTTGTAACCATAGACTAAGTGATAATTTTGTATTGATGCTTGTCATAACTGTAAAGAAAATGGGAAGTCACTCTGTTTCTTTTCATTTTTTATGTTGCATCTTTGGCTCCCTCCCTCCCTCCCTTCTTTCCTTCCTTCCTTCACCCCGCTCTCTTTTATAATTTATATTAATTCTTGTTAATTTTTTATTTTTGTCTTAAAATATCTAATACAAATTATTTGCTTTAATAGCTTGTATGTATCCCCAAGTTGGAAATCAGTCTGGGATTTTGTTTAGCAGACTTTCCAGAGCATAGCAGTAGGAATTTTGGTTCTCCAAATCTGCTTTTAATGAATGTCACTGGAGGGTGCTTTCTGTTTGCGTGTAGAATAAACATTTTGAGCATCAGTTGACAGAATGTTTTGGGGTGACAGGAAACCAAATGTGTGTCTCCATCTGGGTCCCTTCTCCAATTTTGCACCATTAAATCCAAATTTCCAAGATCAACTGTTCAAGTCCCCAATTATGTTTCTAATACCAGTGTGAAACTGGAGACAGGCCTCTGATTCAGATTATACCCTTTTCTCCTTGGCCCTTTTCCGTTAATTATGAGGAATGATTTTCAGTCCACATGGGAAAAGGCTGTGGCAACTAAAATCTCAGCTTTCCTCTTCTCTCCAGGTCTTTTGCTCTGCATGGGAGATGACCAAGCCAAAGCACTCATTAAACAATATGTAGCAGGCACAGAGCGCCAATGCGTCTGCCTCCCTCATGGCACACTTAACTAACCACAAAGTATCTAAACACCAAAGGGCCTTTATTCTGGTACAATGGCATACCTTCCCCTCAGGTGTCCTTGAAGGCCAACACAGGAAGATCCCCTACCTGGAGAGAACATGCCCCTGTGATTCTTACCCTGCAGAAGCAAGAGAACACCTCCAATTGCCAGTACTATAGAGGCATTCATACTAGGCTCATCTTGCCATTATTGCATAAATACCCAAATTATATCTCCCTGCTACTTTCAGACATTAACCCTGCTAACAATAAAATGTTGCCCGGCTTTGCCCAGCAGTGCTTAAAATCTGTCAGATGACCTACGCCATACCTTAGTCTTAATGAGCATTTAGTTATTCAAAAGTGCTTTGTACTGTGATAGATTCAGTTTGCTATATACTAAATTGTATGCTCCCTCATATTGATCTAATATTTCTACTTCTCCCTTTAGATTTTTTTAAATCTTATTTTTATATATTTTACCATTGTTTTTTCTTTACAATTATATTTTGTTGTATCCCTTGTATTTTTTAGTTTTGTGTATCCCATCTTCCTTCAGTATAAGATCTATAAGGTCTATGACTGTATTAAAGATTTGAACTTTTGAAGGTATATGTGTGTATGCCATAATATGATTCTTATATACAGTAACTCTTTTGCCATACAGCAGGATGAGGGAAATTCAATATGCCATTCAGATGCTGTTGAATATTAACCCCAGTCTTCTCCATAGACATGTCTAGTAGTCATGGATAATGGAAGATGTTCTTTAGGAACTTCTGTAGAATGTAGAAACTTCCTGAACAGAGGTTATTTGCCATGGTGGCACAGTAGTTAGAATGCAGTACCACAGGCCACTTCTACTGACTGCCGGATGCCTGCAGTTCAATTTTCACCAGCTTAAGATTGACTCAGCCTTCCATGCTTCCAAAGCCGGTAAAATGAAGGCCCAGATTGTTGGGGGCAATATGCTGACTCTGTAAACCACTTAGAGAGGGCCGTAAAGCACTGTAAAGCAGTATATAAATCTAAGTGCTAATGCTATTGCTAAAGGTCATGGATGACAAAACCCAACTTACTGTATTCATGTTAATGTTATCTTTGGATGGTATAACAATAAGAGAGAAAATGCTGTTTAATACCAATATACGAAAAAAAAATGACTTATTCCTGTCTCATTCATGTGCTGGGGATGAAATAAAAATAAAAGAAAGATACAGGAAAGAAAGAAAAGATAGAGAAAGAAAAAATTAAGAAAGACATATATGTGCCAAAGTTAGATGCAAATGAAGAAAACCTTAAAAGAGTTCTGTTGACATCTTGTCCTCTGTAATCTTTGCTTGTCACAACTAGAAAAAAAAATGTTAAGAGGTTTATTTTTAGTAAAGCATGTTCTAAAATCTGTTCTGTATGGGGAAACTTTCCACCAAACAGTACCTAAGAAGCATGAAAATTGTACAGATAGTCCTCAACTTACAACAGTTCATTTAGTGAGCAAAGTTACCACGGCACTGAAAAAAGTGACTTTTGACCACTTTTCACACTTACGACTGCTGCAGCATCCCCATTGTCATATGATCAAAATTCAGATGCTTGGTGACTGGTTCACATTAATGATGGTTGCACTATCCCAGGGTCATGTGATCAGTTTTTGTGACAAAGTTAATGGGAAATCCAGGTTCTCTTAACAACCTTGTTTACCAGCTGCAGGGATTCACTTAGCAAATGTGGCAAGAAAAGTAATAAAATGGGGCAAACTCACTTAACACCTGTTTCACTTAACAACATAAATTTTGGGCTCAATTGTGGTCATAACTCAAGGACTTCCTGTATTTCTGTTGACCATGTGTTTACACTAGGTAAATGGACATTTTGGATTGATTTTGCAAATTTAAAAGATAGTGTTCTTGAGAGGGATGTGATGAAGAGCAGGAGGGCATCCAATTCTGTATTCCAAACCTAATATTGTGCAGTTATTTTGTATTCATATTATATTGTTATTCAGTAAAAATTATTTAAAAAGCCAAGCTTTGTTTCTATTTTTTTTTTTTTTTGAAGGCTTGCATTTAAGCAGTCCTCCAACTTTGCTTCCCCTAAATATGGAACAATTGGTGTAATCTCTTCCCGCCTATACGGTGCCAGCTGTGCAGAGGTGGTATTCAGCAGGTTCTGACCAGTTCTGGAGAACCAGTAGTGGAAATTTTGAGTAGTTTGGAGAACCAGCAAATACCACCTCTGCCTGGCCCTGCCCCCATCTATTCTCTACTTCCCGAGTCCCAGCTGATTGGTTGGGTTTCTTTTGTTGTCCTGCACAGGAGAACGGAGCTGGAAAGCAGGTTAGTGGGGTGAGGAGGGAATGGGATTTTACAGTATCCTTCCCCTGGTATGCCACCAAGCCACACCACACCCACCAATCCACACCCACAGAACCGGTAGTATTTTTTTTTTAATCCCACCACTGCAGCTGTGTCTTTTCTGTACATGCTAATGGCCCACATCTAAGAGACACTGAGATGTATATATATTCTTGAAGGAGTCAGCTGTCATTGAGTGCTGCGTGGCATCACAGCAATATTTATGTTTTGGGAGGATGGATATTGTGTTTGAAAACCATCTAAAGTGTGTGAAGCCTTTTAGAAAGCTAACGCATCGTTGTCTTTTCCCTTCAAAAATGGATGGGATTTTTTTTCTACATTAGATGGTTTGCTTCTAAATGTCTTATGATTCAATCTGAAGTTTCTGAGACTGGAAAAAAGCAGAGTTGGGAATTACATATCACTCGGGGTATTTCTTGCCCATGATGCAAAGTACCTGAATTTTATGTTAGAAATGTAGAAAACATGAAAGATGTTTTTATCATGTCTGGTGGACTTGCAAAAAAAAAAATCTAAAAAATGTTGGGTTCAAATACCCAACTCATAGAATGAGACAAAGAGTTGTAAGAGAAATGAAAAGTAAACCGAAATGATATTGTTTTTATTCTCTTGAATTTTTTTTAAATAAAAATTATATACAAACCCCCGATTGCCCTAAGTGTTGTTCTGGAAAATTGTTCTTATCAATTCACCATGTGCTGTTCAAAGTCTTACTGTTTTGCATTTGGCATGTTCTCTTGAACTGTTCTTCTGAACTTTGTACTTCCTTGTATTTTTCTGTGTAAAGCCTTTTTTAAAAAAAAAAACTTATAGTTGTTAAATGTGGTGTCTGCAGATAATGGGAGACTCTTCCAGCTGGTTAGCTTCTACACAAGTTCCTCATTGTGTGCTCTTATGACAGGCAAATGTTTAACCAAATGTTTGCTTTATGAGTTGCTAGTTCTGCTGGAATTAGAAACAGCCTTGGAATTACCTCTGCAATCTCAGTTCAACAGAAGGATTAAGAAAAGAACATGACACAAAGGAGACGGAGAGACCATATTGTTTCCTGGGGTTGCCTATAGAATTGAATACATTTTAACACTTCTCAGCATGGCCATTATACCTTCTCTGGAAACATGGTAAGTTTTGAATACGAGAGATACAACCATGAGATCTGCTGAACACACAATGCTATGTGGCAGGGTGGTGGTGGAGAGGAAGGCATTTTTTCAGGGAATATCATATGAGAAAATTAAAGGGGATGCTTAATTCTTAATCCCTTATTTTCTTTTGTGGCTTTCCTCCCCTTGAAATGAACCCAGGGCAGATGCATCTGGCCAATTGCAGAGGAACTATTTGACTTGAACCCCAGGCTTGAAGCAGACTCGATAACTAAGGGTAGTTTTAAGCACCGATTGCTCTCCGCTGCTTCTTCTATAGAAATCTTTCTCCATCACTTCCATGACTTAGAAGGCACTAGTTTGCTGGTAGCATCTAGTGTACGGTGCTTGCCAGAGATGTAAGGGACTGTCTATATTTTAAATTGCTTGACATATTATTTGAAGGATATTGTAGCTTTTGCACAATATTCCCATAATAATGCTTGATTTTCAATAAAAAGCACATTCATTTTCCATTTCAAAAAGTTTAGCATATTTGAACAATACAGTAATTGAAAAGACCTTCCTAATCCTCTTCTGTAATTTATGACTACTGCAAGTTCCATCCATCTTTGCCCTGCACTCCATCCCTGCTTGATCCCTTCCCCACTAAACATACTTTTGCTCATGATTGATTGCAATTTATCTCTCTTGTTCAATTTTGACACAATACCCTAACTAGAGTGCAAGAGTAATCCTACTGAAGAAAGTTGTTCCCATCCTGTCCCATCTGCTGTGCTTTCTTATTGAAGGTATGATGTCAGGAGCTTCAGTAATGAATGGGAGGAGGAACCAGTTTGAACATCCAAGTCAATTCTGCTCAGAAAGAGATGGCTATGGGGACATGAGAGATAGTGGTGGATACCTCTCTAGAGACCATCTTGGGGGTTTCTTTATTCTCTTGGAGGGCAGGGCCTGAATTCTACCTACTAAGTTGTGTATTGTCCTTAAATGTAACGGTGGATGATGTCTTATCATTAAGGCTAAAGGAAGATTTAGTTATAGATATAGTTGACTTCCTTATGGGAAATGGGAGGGACACATCCTCTTGCTTGTGGCTTCAGACTGAATGGAAAGGGCATGGCCATTTCCTCTGAATATGGTTAATAAGATTATTTCATGGACATAGTTCATGGAAGCACTGGTGGCCGATGAGAGAACGTTGGACCCAGTCTGTGTTCAACCTGCTGCTCAGCTGAGAAGTTCAGGAAGTGTCCTTGGTGAACCTCTTGAGTTTCAGGCTAATCCATTTGCAGGGTAGTTCTTGTAGTGCAAAAGAGAACGACTTCCTCGTGATAACTCTGACTCCCCTGGAAAAAGGAAAGAAAAAGTAGGTAGGTAGGTAGGTAGATACACAGAACTATTATCCAATGGTGTTTTCATGTTCAGAAACTTGGAATACTGCATAGATTAGGATTCAGATAGTCCTGACATTCACAGTTAAGCCCAAAATTTCCATTGTTAAGCAAGAAAATTGTTAAGTTTTGCCCCATTTTACCACCTACCTTGCCACAGTTGTTAAGTGAATCAAGGCAGTCAAGTTAGTAACATGGGTGTTAAGTGAATTTGATTTCCCCATTAACTTTGCTTGTCAGAAGGTTGCAAAAGAAAATCACATGACACTCCCTCCCCCCCCCAGGACCCTGCAGTCATCATACATACATGCCAGTTGCCAAGTGGTTGAATTTTGATCATGTGACCCTAAGGATGTGAAAAACAGGCATATGTCACTTTTTTCAATGCCATTATAATTTTGAACTGTCATTAAATGAATGGTTGAAAGCTGAGGACTAACTCTAGATGGTATATTTGTGTAGATTGCAATCCCACTAGAATCTACAAGTATAGAGTTTTGCAATGAGGGGTTTTCTAGCCCTACCAGGTGATACCAGATATAAAAGCTGAGCTCTTTTGCCTATAAGTTACCCACTGTATTATTGTGCTTTGGCAGTTTCTCCTAACTTGATACAGAAGTTGAATCAAGAAAACTTAGACTGCACACATACTTAGAATTGCATTTCTTTATTTGTCCCACAAAGGCATTCCCCATTTTTTCCATTGGAAACTACAGTATTATTTAATCTACAGTATGTAACTTTCAATTAAATATGTTGTTTGCATTTGTGTATTCTATGCAGTCAGTTCCCAAATGAAACCTATAATGAAACCTGTACAAGTCTAACAGACCTGGAGCCTGTTTTACATTATTCACTTCTTCCCTCAGTAAGTAAAACTATAAATAACTTACCATAATTGTGAGCCACATTCCTGGACTTCTTGCAACCCATGGATTTTCTTTCCTTCTTTTGTAGATTGCCATAATTGTGGTGCTGTCTTGTTTTGAAAAGAGATCCAGGAGAAATGTAATTGATGAAAAATGCCATCTCCTCAACAGGCGGTGTGGGGTTGTTGTGTAAGTCTGCAAAATTATTTTGCTTCAGTCTTCTTCTTTACCTCCTCCTTTACTGCTTCAGTTGTTGAGGGAGATACAAAATTCTGGCTCTTGTTCTTTTGGTGGCCTCAACCATTGTTAATTTATGTTGTTGTAGTGTGTCTTTGATACTGTGTCTCTCCATCTTCTTCTGGGTCTGCCTCGTGTTCTTTGACCTTATCTTCTTTTTATGTATGCTTT